AATTTCATTTTTTTATGGCGAAATGGCGCATCGCCAGCAACAAAAAGGGTTCCCAATAGGAATATGAGCTTGTTTATGGTATGGACTCTATGAATATGTCTTGAATATGTGGGTAACAAATGATGAAGTGTCCGTGTTTATTTATTCCTATGATGAGACTGGGCGAGACGTATGGCAAGGTACTAAACAATCCTGCGAGGGACGATTCCAGGGAAAGATCCCTCGGATGTTTCTTTCTTATTCAGGTAGATAACTTATTGAGTGACCCTCGTATTGCCCTGAAGGAGATGAAGTATCAATGATAGAGAGTCTATGACTTCAATCCGTCAGTTTCTTCTCCTGAGAGCAAAATGGAAGAAGCATGAATTCGTGGACACGAAAAGAACATTATGGGTAGACCACTCTATGAAATATTCTATATTTAGCATATTAAGGGAAGATTTAACTCCCAAAATACTCCTATATATCCTGTCTAACCATAATACAGATACTGTATTATGCACGAGCAGGGGTTATACTATTACAGGCTTCGTCATGTTGATGGGAACGTCTCTACTATGACTAAGTAAGGAATGATGAAGGAAATAATTCAATATTGGTCCAGTTCAGGACCAATGAAGCCTATACTTTTCTTTGTAGTAATGCCAATATATGTCCTAACGACTAGGTGCCAGTGAGGCGACGTTCTCCATCAACATTGCAGCAGCTTAAGTTGAACAGTCCTGAAACGATACTGCAACATATACGTAACGATCTGCAACGTCAATTCAATGTTCTTTTGCAATATTCGAGCAAAGTTGACGTTTTGAACATTTACACATTGAAGCAACATCGCTCATCGACAGTATTAAAACGTTGCTGGAATATTTTGTGTTACTTGTGCGTGGTGCAACCGAAAGGAAGGAGATTCAGGGGTTTCACACCCCTGATTGAGACTTCTTGGAGTGAATACCATTTAGGACCTACATCACAGCTCATAACATGAATATTTGTGCCATTTGCTTGAACTGATTTTACATTCACATGCGGACTCAAAATAACTGAGAGCTCTCCCCCTTTCATCCCAACATTTAAACAGCATTTAGACTGGGTCAGACTAGTCTAAAAACATTCCCCCATTTATATGCAATTTTAGTTCGATTATAACTCGATTTAGAACTATCAGAAAAGGATACCCTTTCCCCTACTTTGTGTTTAGCCCCTTGTGGCATTTGTCCTTGTCTGTGTGTGCTTGTCCCAGTCCGCGAAAAAAAAAGGTTTGTGGTGTGCAGCACCATCTCGCATCTGGCTCGTGGAACAGTTCCGAGAGCTTTCAAGGTCACCCCGCGCCATTCTAAACTCCCAAAAACCTGGAGAGGGATGCATTGTGCCCAAATTAGACGAGTAGGATAAGAAAAGCGAAGAGAGAAGAAAGTGATTTTGATGGAAAATGGAACCTCCTTTAGGTACCACCGTCGAGGGTTGCGACGATCCTTGAAGCCAATCTGTCCCTCCATGGACATGTCTGCTGGATTGCCCAAAAAAAGTCAAAGCAAGAACTCCTCCGTCCGCATCTCCCAAAACCAGCCAGGTATTCAATAGAGGTAACCACATGGCTTGGTAAATAATCAATCAACTCCTTTAAATACTTGTACAATAATATGTCGTCCCATTCCTTCACGGATTCCTTCTTCCACGATCCCTTTCCGACCACCTTTGCCTTCTCTTCGTTTAACGTGCTTTTTCTCTTCATCGCCATAAGCCCTCAAAGCGTTTGCATTATCTTAGGAAGCAAAATTCGATCACCCATACTTCATTCCTTATTACAATCAATTCTGACTTTAATAATACGAATTTCACGGATCGCATCCCTATTGACTCGCATGAAAGTCATATTAATAGTAGAACTGTACCGATAGTCACATTTGGCCGATTATTTTCTCATATCTATCGACCGGTGCCGATGCCTATTGTGACGTATAAAGAAACATTATATGAAATATTTATTCAAATTGATCTATTAGGAAGCCATGTCAATTTTTTTGTTAATTTTGTTAATTTTTTTGTCAATTTTTGTTAATTTTTGTTAATTAATTTATTACAATGCGCAATTTTACAAACTTTCATATGGAATATTTGATTTATTTACTTATTCTGGAAAACGTCCACATTCCTTCGGGTTTTTCTGGCTCTTTCTCCAGGACGACTAAATGAAAGCAACTCCCAAGGGCAGGCTTCTAAATTCGATTCATTTTCAATGGATGTTCATTTCCATCAGCGTTCTCCTACGATTCGAAGGAGGCTAAACTTTAACTCTTTAAGAGCGTTTACCTCCTCACTCTTACCTATGACCACGAACTTTGGGTAATGACCGATAGGATCAGGCCGTGGATACAAGCTGCCCCGATGAGGTTCTTACGGCGGGTGGCAGGTGTCACGCCGGGTGAGAGGATGCGAAGTGCCGCCCACCGTGAGAATCTCCAGGTCGATTGAATACTTCTTCCGATCGAGGGATTCCAAGTCCACTGGTTTGGACACGTCTCCCGCCTGCCTCCAGAGAGATTCCCAAAAGAGCCTTCAAATCTAAATGACCTGCCGAGGAACAGTCCGTACGCTCATGCAAAGTGGTCGGATTGCATCGCGAACCTCTGCCACGAGAGGCTCGGTATATCACATGCGAGCTCGAGTCCGTTGCCTAGAAACACGAACACTGGAAGATGTTCTCGGGCTGTTCGAATTACGACCCCATTAGGTTGGGATAAGCGGTTTCAAAATGCATGTATACGTTTCTTAAAATATTTTACGCCGAAATGAGGTAGCTTTGTTAAGAATGCAACTTTATTTCAATGTGATAACCAATCAAGGCTGCCTCTCCATAACCAAGAAACTGTAGAGTTATTCCATCTCAAGTGGCTTGAACTAAGAAAAACTTGCAGGAGGCATCTCATAAATTTACCCTAATTTTGGCAGATTTATTTCTCTGAGGAAAAGAATCATATACCACAGTATGAACTTCTCACTAACTCAGGAAGTTTTCAATTTGGATAAATATTCATTGTCTATTCCACATACTTTGAATACATGTGGATCTCCTTAACCATTCTTCATTCTGTCATCAAATAAGCAAACCGATGTCTAAATGATGTCCACCTTTAATAACATCGACAACCGTTTTCATTACTTAAACATTCAATCATATTGATTAGCTCCTGAGAGAAATTTGAGCAAGCTTAAACATAGATCATTCAGGACAGTCAAAATCTTTTGACCATACACCCTGGGAACTATGCGCATGGATGAAAAGAATACCTAGCCTGAATTTCTTACCAACGGGGCAAATATATTTGCCAAATTTTAATATCAATCATGTGTCCTCCACAAGCTATGACACTTGACATGGAATGACCATGCAATCTTGTTTGCCTATATTCATTTGCATGACATTCAATTTTGGCTGTTGATTGGCAAGATGATGGTAATGGAAGGTATATGTGGCTTGGGAGCAGAGATGACGAAGGAGACACAATTGAGTGAAGCCATAGACACTTCATCAGCAGAAAAAGAATATGTCCCTTTGGATGTTCTCCTGGAAGATGGTCATGGTTCTCGACTTCTGAACCACACCCGCTTCAACAATTCTGTCACCAATCTGGCTGTAAAAGTCCGAGATGCAATAGAAGGGAACAAAACCAACAGCAGCAAGAGGATGCGGTTGGCTGAAGCTGCTCGACTAACTCCTCCACCTCGAGACTCCTCATCCTCCTCCCTATCTTCTGCCAGATACTACCGTCAGTATAAACCTTCAAGTACTGGATTTAGTACAGGTTCTGGGAAGAGGCCTATATTCAAAGTTTCCAGCACCAGCTCTACCTCTATGGACCATGCTGAAGAAGTAGCTCTTTGATCGCATGACCTTGAACATTACTTCACAGACCATTTGTGCACATAGCAGTGACAGAGCCCACTGATGCTTGAATAATTGGAACTGAAAAGTATTTGTGTGTGTTGCAGATATTTTCCAATCCTTACCAATAACATCCCATTCCAGTAATAATAAAAAAAGAGCTTGCTTCCCCAAGCATCTTGAGTGGATGTAATGCTCCCCTTTCTTCCCCATTGCTAGAAATTCTGTGCTGTGCTCATGGTTAATTCTCCATCATTAGAGGACTTGTCTTCTTTGAATCAATATAAATTAACTGAGGACTCTTACATGAGTCTCAATAAGGTGATCAAGGGAAAACAAAAGGGTCTATTCTGCCAGATGCTTCTCCAATGCTCAGTACTTCTTTATGAATGGTGTTTTACATGTCTTAGCAGCAGCAAAAAAGTCTTCCAGTGACTTGAAAAATAAAATGGTCCTTGATTGAGGCAACTGAATAGGGATAATTGCAGTACATATTTATCACATCTTTTTCAAAGTGAATGTCAGTTGCCAGGGAGGGATGTCAGCATAAAGCCTTCTTCAGGGATCTAAATGGACAACCACATGTGTCCCTGGTGCCTGCAAGTTTTGTAACTTTCATCAGTGTTTTTGATTCCATTCAGATTATCACATGTAGCCTCAGAGCCAAAAAGATAAAAAAAAAACAGTGTGATCATCTATGGCAAAATAGAATCCAGAGCTAGAATCTGAATGTATCCTCTTCTTTTTCAATGCCCCAAAGGCAATAAAAAATCAGATTTTAAGCTCAGGGCCCTTGAGTGGATCCAACAAAGATGAAAGGAACTGTAAAATTGCTTCTAACTAAATCTGTTGCAAGCCAGAACTTCATGATATGAAAAAAACATTGTAGTCACTTAATTTTCTGAAAAGTACAATCCAAAGCTGGTTCATAAATGACCATGGTTCAAAAAATATTTCAGTGAAGAACACCTCCATGCCTGCATTTTGCAGGCAATAACTGTTTCCTAACTGTTTAGGTGTTCAAATCTAGTCATTAGGTAGCCATGTCAGTCTATGTGACAAATACATTCAAGTATGTTCTGTCCTGCATGAATGACACAAGAACACGGTCCACAGATGGTAATGCTAGATGTTTATCTATTTTTTCAATTGTCTCTCTTTATGTCTTGAAGAAGAAAGAATAACGTGATGAACCTGCAACTTGTGTTTTCCTTCCCTTCCAATATATTCATTGCTCCTGCTCCACTAGTTTAGCAATGGTATTGAGTTGGATATTGCTGGTGCCCTCGTAGATGGATCCAATCTTCGCATCTCTATAGAACTTCTCAACCAGGCTATCCCTGACAAACCCCATACCACCCATCCATTCCACAGCCTTTGAAGCTGCTTCCTCAGCTACCTCTGAAATTGCGAAGAAAATTATTCTTCACAGATTTTTATATTTGAAGGTGCTCTTAGATTTGAAATATAATAGCAAGAGTGCCTTCCATTAGAACTCCTTTGACAAATTAGAATGAAAACAGAATACAAGTGATTCAAAGATGAATCACTTGTCTTCATGGCATCAAAAATGAAAATGACCCTACCAGAAGCATATAACTTGGCCATGGCTGCTTGTTTTGTGAATGGGAGACCTGCATCTCTCAAACGAGCTGCATTATACACCAGAAGTCTCCCACATTCTATTTGCGTCAACACCCGTGCCACCTGGTGCCGAATGGCCTGCAACAGTAATGAGAACATTTCTTGAATTGATGTGAATGTAAGGGAATCTGGTTCATTCAGACCCTCCAGTACTAGACCATAAGCAAATAAGCATATCCTGAGTAAGAACTTAAAATCACCATTTCTAGATATATTTTGCTTTGCCAAAAGTATCAGGACAGCCTACACATTCTGACCTATGGCACAAGCTGGCAAGTCCATGACACACTAGGAGGCCTCATGGTATCAGGATAAGTAAAGAGAATCCAGAGTGATGGTAATCAATTTGCTGTAATGTGCCAAAGACACATGAACTGTGCAAATTCAAAAGAAGTGTAATAATTGGCTGCTATGTGGGAGAAGTCAATCCATGAAATTGCCACAATGACAGGTACTCTGAAGTCTACTTTGCATGGATCCATAATGGTGTCCGGAATTCTGGACATTTTGGCTTACATTTATTATTTAATATGCATTTATTGGAGCAGAAAATCCAGTTTCCAATAAGTGTAGACACATGATGGAAAAGCAGACAAACCACCAGCAATGAATTCAAAGTGGCCCTTCATGGTGGTGCACTGGGGAATTGAAAGAGAATGCTCTCAAGGGAAAATGCTCAGGACTAAAGGGAAAATAGAGGTATGGAGGGGGAGGTGTCATATCATAAAAACCATGTTTGGAAAGGCCACAAATTCCAGCAGACCATGATAAATGAGCCCTGGGGAGAGTTAATAATTCTAACCATAAAACAACACTTCCTAAGATCTATGTGTTCATTGCTTCTCTTCCAGTCTGATGTAGCAACCTACCATATGATAGGACCCTTCAGCATGCATTACATGAATGTTGCTATGTAGGGAGGACAGGTTTACACAAACTACACATCACCCTCACAAAAACAGCATCACTTGCCATGAAACAAGGAGGAACAGCACTAAAAGGCAGACCAGCAGTCTAGAATTTTCTGGAGTGGTGAAAGTCACTTTACAGTCTTCCTAAGTGATTGAGCAGGTTTGGAGACATCCGCACTAGGAGTAAATCCACAATGTGTTGTACACACTGAATTCCACTTCACTAAAGAGAAGGATGGTGGTGGTGGTGTAACAGTATGGACTGCTTTCTGGGTTGGGATTAATTGAGGAGTTCTCTGCCCTTTTTCCAGAGAACTCCTCAATTGATAAGTGCCCATTCATCTGAATCCCAGTACATATCAAGCTATTATAGCAGAGTATGTTCCAGGGGCTATAGTGGACTTTCTTGGTCAGTGCTCTGATGTGTATTTCCAGAACAATGCCTCCTGCCATGGTCTACACAGAGCCTGAACCTCAATTCTATTGAACATAAGTATGTGGAACCATAGAGCAGCAGTGTGCAAACTGGGGGTGGGGGGTTAGAAGGATGCTGTGGGAGGACATGAACTTTACATTACATTTTTTCTCTGAATTATGAGTTTTATGGTTCAAAATTAAATAAAAAGGGAGGGAAGAAATGAAGAAAAGCACTACAAACCTAGAAAATTCTGAATCCTGAATTGGCCTTTGTTTGAGGCATTGCATTATTCTCAAAAGCAGTGATTTTAATGATGTTAACATTATAATACACAAAACATTCATGTTTCGTTTCTCATGCCAACTTACCTGAAATTACAGTTTCTGATGAAACAGAACCAGTGGAGGGGGGATAAGGGGCCACAACTGAATACACACATGAAAAGGGGGGTGCAACCTGAAAATTTTGTGCACTGCTGCCATAGAGCACCAAATCTGATAGCATGTACCATAGCTTCATCTGCTACAAGAGCTTGTGGTAACAGAATGGAGGAGGTTCCCACTGGAACACTATCTAAAACTAGTAAAGAGCATGCCTCAATGCATCATAGTGGATATTCATGTCAATGGTGGTCCTACACAATACAAGGCCTGATAATACTATGGCTCTCCATTCTGCATGGCGTCCAGATACTTTAGCAGGGTAGAGTATTCCCTTGTGAATATATAGGATGAACATACATTGGCAAAAATCTTTCCCTAGCAGTGACTAGTCCTTAACCTTTGGTAAATGCAAGGTTCCCCATCAAAGGTGAAAGCATATGATGCTAACAACACAAACTTCCCCCCCCCCCCCCCATATTAGGTCTGTTCTTATAATCCCTGACAACATGCTTCCCCATCCATCTATCTGGGCTCTCACCATTCATGAGTCCCTTTCTCAAGCTCAGCATGGAAAAGAGTCCATTCTGCTCTTTATTACATGTTATGAAAAGAGGTTGTAGGGTTCATGTCATGTTCAAGCTCATGTCCACATAGGTGGTACTACTCTCTCCCTACCCTCTCTATGTCTATGAACTTTGCTTGCAGCACTGGCCTGCTTGCTACAAGGATTTTTTGTAGGGAACCAAGATACAGTAGGTTCAAAGTGAACCTAATCTTGACTGTAGGGGATGGTTGCACACAAAACAAATAGGACATGAGAACCTGACACCTACACTATCCTCTAAAGTTACAAGTTACAATTGTCCCAAATCAGGCTTCCAAAACATCCTTGTGATGTTTATGATCTAGTGTGCTACTAGGAGAGTCAAATGATCTGATTGAGGGTAGCAGTGAGGAAGAATGGATGGAAAAGGGGGATGGAGGACATGCATGTGTGAAGGAGTGAAATAAATGAGATGCTCTCTAACCTGGAAATCATAGATACGTTTGCCAAACTGGCGTCTTTCCATTGTGTACTTCAGGGCAATGTCAACAGCTCCCTGTGCAAGTCCCACCATTTGGGCTCCAATTCCTATTCGGCCTTCATTCAACATCCCTACTGCATACTTATATCCTTCTCCAAACTTTCCTAAAATGTTTGCCTCTGGTACCTGAAACATAGTTATGGACATTCTGACTTTTTATGACTATGTGCAATGGCATGACATTTTAAACAGCAATAGACAATAGAAATAGACAACTAAACTTTCAGCATCCTAACAACATACATGAACATCTTGAAAGTCAACAATGCATGTGGCAGATGCTCGGATGCCAAGTTTATCCTCTTTTTTCCGTATGCTCACACCAGGCGTCTGGCGGTCGACAATGAAGCAAGTGATTCCCTTGTAGCCCTTTGGAAGGAAAAATATGGAAAATTTCCCTTTACCACCCTAAACATCACTGAATGAAACATGGTTCAAGAAGGAATGGAAGTAAACATACAGCATTCATGTCAGCATTTGCCATGACGAGGAACAGACCTGCATGTTCGGCAGAAGTGATCCACATCTTGGAGCCATTCAGGATGTAGTGATCCCCTCTCTTCTCAGCTTTGGTCTTCAATGCAAATGCATCACTACCTGATCCTGCTTCAGAAAGGCAAAAGCTCCCTAACTGTGGCAAGAATCATATCAAAGTAGGCATTAATCAACCACAATATACATGTAGTGTTTCTGAAGCAGAAGTAACACACAGTGTCAACAGCCAAACGAGGTAAGTATGTCTTCTTCTGGTCTTCTGTTCCCAATTTAAGGAACAGAGTGTTGATGAGAGTATTTTGGACATCAACCATCACAGAAACAGATGGGTCAATCTTGGCCAATTCCTCTATTGTCAAGACAGAATTGAAAAAAGAAGATCCATTTCCTCCATATTCTGCAGGGACTTCCATGGCAAAGAACTGGAACAGCAGATAAGACATGAATCCATTTAGCATCTGAGAAATACACCATACTGCTGAGGACTTCCTGAATCATTGAAACAAAAAGGGCTTATACATGTAAATAACCACATATAGGCCAGTATTGTACACACAACTTCCAATACTAGGTTGTAACGAAAGTTTTTGTGCATACAAACAACACAACAGTCCATGAAGCATGATTTTTTCGTCACACATTCTAAACGATGCAATTTTGATCAATTTAGCAATTTGTAAAAAAGCAACATATATTTATACATGGCATAAAACGCGCTTCAAAATGATATGTATGTAAACAACATTTTTTTCTTCGAAAATGATGCTGAAATAAATTTTTTTTACCCACAAAAACTTTTGTTACAACCTAGTAAATACAACCCATACAAATTATCTATGATTCATATAGGCTTATGGTAATGTTAATTTTGAGCATCCCATTAATATTGACTTAATAATTTTCACCACATGATCCAACTTTGGTTTCACATTGAATAGGACAGTTCAACATTTGCAAAGAAAAAAAAAAAATTCATAAAGTATATCATATAGGCTATGATAGTGATGTGTAGAAGGTGGCACAAAACCTTAGCTCCTGTCTGTAGCAGAACTGTGTGATGGTGAAGCAAAGCAGGTTTTACATTTGAATAAATTATTCTATTCTTCATTAACAGGCTATATCTCATTACTGTGTATACCTGCCATCAGTCTTGATGACAAATTGAATGAAAGACATGTAAGATTGCAGTGAATTTAGGTAGAAATTGGTATAAAACTAGTCCAGAGAACTGCTGTGATACATTCCAAAAGAAATATTGATCAAATGACACTTTTTCATGACCATGATCTTCTCACAGTTAAGCCAGTATCAAGATCAGGGGTGAGCATGCATAATACTGAAATTGTATCTCTAAATATATAACTGAATAATTTATTCAGAAATTAAACTCTTTTCCTTCACCAACCCACAGTCCTGCTAGAGGGGCAAATATTTCTTGGTACCCTGTATATATGGTACACAATATAAGGCAGCCATGTAGTTCTTTCTTTTTTTTCTGCTGAAGTCCTGAAGGTAGTGGCTATTCAGGTAAAGGATATTAACATTCATATGCACAGAGAGCAAACAGAAACTAGATCAGAACTTATACTTCAATAGGAAATATGAACATCTTTAAGCAGAGGTGCAAGATACCATCTTTGTTATGTTTCCACTCACCTAAAAGAAAGGGTATAATCTTGAAAGAGGGTAATCAAAAAGTTCTCATACTGGAATTCTTTAATGTACTGATATCATTGCAGGTGAGTCTTGAGAGTGACATTTCTTTAGCATACTGATTTATTTTTATTTTTTATATTTCTTATTAAATTTAGTTAACTGCATGAGCCTATCAGAATCTTAAACAATACAAAGAGTTTGAGGTAGAAAATTTACTAAACTGGGAAGGATTTTTAATTTCCCTCTGGGGTGGACACATACATACCCCCCTTCCAAAGTCCTTCCAATCCAATCTGCAGACAAAAAAATGCATTTAAGGAAACTTGGTAAAACGTAATGTCATGTGGACTGTTCACATTACTTGCAAAAAACTAAAAGATATTAGGAAAATATGAGCACACTGCAATGACTTCTGTAAACATACACTGTATATTGGAAGTCCACAAAAGGAGGCCACTTGACAAAATTAATCCATGAGCAGCTGGTCAGTAGTGAGGCATTAGCACTTTCAATTACACATTTTTGTGCAATGGAAATTTTTAAAATGTATGTACAGGGAGAACAGGAAGTTACTGTGCAGCAGAGTTCATGATACGATGTAGGAATCCCCATAGTAGATGGGATGTACAGACAATAAATTATGTGCATCATGGATGGTGCAAATATTTGATGAAGTGTAGTGAGTAAATTTCTGTCTTTGATGATGTGATATGCAGAGTAGTACTAAATAAAAGCCACTAAATAAATTAATTTCACTGCACAGTGACTTCTTGATCACCCTGCATATATGAAAAATTATGTGTGAAAATGAAAATGGAGCAGTATTCATAACTAAACATAGCTTATTTGCAAGAAAAAAACGTAGTGGGACAGGCTATGTCCCAGTATTTCATGAGAGCCAAACTACACAGTGTTTAAAAAAAACTGCCAAATAATTTTTGCTAATAATGACAGTACTTTTCATCCACTTGATGCAATTTTTTAAATGTTGCAGGTGAACAGAGTAAAGAAGATAAATACCTAATTTTAAGAAAATTGAAGCATTGTATCAAGTTCTACATCAGTTCAAACTTGATAGGTAAAAAAATGTGCTGTAAAAGCCTGCTGGTGCACTTGCTTCAGCCAGTGAAGTGAACAGAAGTCTGCATGCTTAACATGCAGCCAAAGAGGCAGAGGGCATGGGTGTTTTCCCTTTGTTGCCTAATTTTATAACAAAATCTTTGGCCAATACCAGGTATGAATTTCCTTTGAATTGGCCACAAAATTTTGTTATCTAAATAGGTGACAAACAGAGAACAACATGATCTCTGCCTCTTTGATAAGGCAAAAACAAACTTTCCTTGGCCAAGGCAAACGCAGCAGCAGGCTTGTACTGCACACTTTTTTACCAATCAAGTTTGAACTGGCACAGAACATGATACAATGCCTCAATTTTCTTAAAATTAGGTAATTACCTTCTTTACTCTATTCAAATGCTGTGTTTAAAATTTTGCATCGATCTGATGAAAAGTACTGTCATTATAAGTGAAAATGATTTTGCACTTTTTTTTTCTTGAACACCATGTATACTAGGACATGTTATATTTCACTATCAGCTGAAGCCTAACATTGATGGCTGTCCCCTTCAATACAACTTTCATTGCTTAACAGCAAATTATTATCTTCCACATCATCACTCTCTTCAAAAATTAGGTTTCTTATTCCCTCAGAGGCATACTCTTGTTTGCTGTATTTGTAGATGGGTGACGAAAAGGGAAAAAGCAACTGGACAATGGTACATGTTGTTTACCAGCAGGAAATGAAACCAACTGTGACGAAAATAGAAAATGAAAGTGATCAACTGTAAACATACACTCTAAATACGAGGATAACACTTTAGGCGATTAGCTCAACTCTATAGTTGAAATTTAACACAAATACAATTAGAAAATATGCATCCAAAATCCAGAAATAAGTAGAAAATAGGCATGAAAATTGTAAGCACATCTCCCACAAAAATAAACTTATTGGATTAGAGATCTTACTTAGAGATCTCATCACAGTGTCATCATCAACCTAAGCTACTGAGCTTTAAATATAATAGACCATGAGTGGTGACATCTGATGATGCTTCTTGTAAATTGTCCAGCTTTGGAACAATACATATTAAAAAAATTAGGTGCTCTACAGAGATCGCATTATAATTACAACGATTTTAGTGGAACATTAGTAATGAGGCAAGGTATGTCCCAGTATCAGTGAAAGGGTTAAGAAGGTTTCTCAGTGGCGTATCAATGCACTTCACAATGGAGGCTTGTTTGCATTAAATATTAAACACAGAAAAAGTAACCGTAGCAACCTTACTATTGAGATTATGAATCTGCTCTTAACAATCATGGCTACTAATGGAAAACCATAGGTGATGAAGAAAGGAGCAAACACTTAACACTTAAAAGTCCATGTTAGTAATACAGGGTGTTTGTATTTAAACACAACATAGGGAATATTTTGCTGCCTGTAGGTGTAGGTCGGCGAATGCTATAAGGCATACCAGGTTGCCTATCTGCAAAGAAACACACCAGTGATAGGTTTCATCCTCCCAGATATGCAACCTGGTAAGCTATAGGCCATGCGCTGAACTCCACTAACAGGCAGCAAAAATTTCCCTATGTTGCGTTTAAATACAAACACCCTGCATATGTCAATGCTGGCTTTTCCCACATGCCCAGGTCAGTACATACATGTTGCATGCTACAGATATTCATAGAAAATTAGGGGTCAGTAAATACATGGCTTTGGATGCTGGGCACTGTCACTACAGGTCTGTGCCTTACTCAGGTACTACCAGATGGCCTGTGCATTCATGTGGTAGCAAGGTTGATAGGAATTTCAAGCTGCTGGTGGTCAAGACACCAGCTGTGATTTCACTGCAGTCATGGCTAGACATTGGTTGGTGAAAAAAGATGCATACAAGATTTTGCAAGGTGGTGATGATATTTCCAGTGACACTGATTGATGCTCCTCAGGGATGCTACATCACCTGAACGAAGGGCAGGCAAGAGAAGGGAAAGCCAGGACACAATGAAAGCACGTACTACTGTCCTGTTTGTGACGTCAACCTATGCTTTGAAATCTATCACACAAAGATGAATTTTTCATAAGTAGGAAGTGTCCAAAGTGTGTGCTTGTCTTTGCAGCATCATAGACTGTAACAATGATGTTCTTGGTCAAAAAATATGAATTGTTGTTATGTCTAATGTCAAAACCTGTAACCTCTCAAAAAAATGTTTGCCTCCAAACAGGGAGTTGATTTGCAGCCGTTTCTTGTGGAAACAGGAACTTGGTAGAATTACACAGACTGAAATAATATGAACCAAGGATACAGGATTGTGACTTTTTTTTGGGAGTTTTACAACCCATTTGAATGGAACAAATTTTACCAACATTCCCAAAAACTACCAGACAAATAGTACGGCTTGCTTGATAAACCCTTGGGCTTTTAAGTGTTAAGGGTTGAGTTCCTTGATTCAGCTAGCGAGAGGGAGAGCATTAACCATTTCATGTGTGAATTTTTTAAGCAAAAGAAAAATGAATTTTTTGTTTTAATGTTTAAGGAGGTACTCTGTCACAGGAGTCGCATGTTTCACTGCTAGAAGGTAACACTGAAGAGATTATGTGCCCTTGAGTTGACTGCATACACCAAAATTCTTGAGGTTTGTGTACCATCATAAAAATGATGGCTAAAACATCACAAAAATTTTGTGACCACTATAGTGGACACCATGGAAAAAAGGTTTAAAGTACATGGTGGTAGGTTTCCAGTTCAGATTAGGGAGAGGTTCTGCACACATGCAATGAATTTCCTGTCTAAGGTCAATGATCCCTGGTTAGATTTTCTTTGGTGCTTAAACTTTATTCTTCAAACTTGTATGTTTTTATAGTGGACACTACGGGAATTTATGGCTGCAACAAGGGGTGCATACATTTACATGGGCATTGTACGTCTTGCGCACACCACCAGAGCACCATGCACATGGTGTGCACTCGCATAGTATGTCTCGCACACACTAAGGCAACATGCCCCTATGTAAGAGGGTTATCAAAGCCCAACATACCACACGTGAGGAAGTTATTGCGTAAATTGGGGGACCGTTGGAGCCATCTTCACTACCAGCATAAAATGCTGCACGGGCAGGGCTTTACCGTCCCGACCTGACCCGACCCGAGCCACTGTTCTCGTGCAGTCATTTGAGCCAATTTCCTTGCGTTTTCGACGTTTTGACATGCTCACGGCTCGTTCGTCGTTTTATGCAATTTATGCCGGCCTATGCATTCACATTTTGCCAGCAGTGTTATAAACTAAAGTATGCGTTCTTCCTCCAGTGGGAGAGGGCTTAAATAAATTAAAACATATTCCAGACGTGGAGGTCGGTTTTCATGATTTGACACCAATGCCTCACCAGGGCGTGGGAGGTCAGCCGGGTGCGAGACGCACTTTAACGTAGGAGTGGACAAGGATGCACGGTGTACATGGGTGGGCGCAAGACGTACTCTGGGTGGGGGGGGTGTGCGCAAGGCGAACAATGCCCCATTTACATTTGACTACAGAGAGTGGGGATTAACATGAGGCTTTGTGTGAGAACATTCAGAGTTGGCATAGTTAGCTTTTAGTTCATGGAAATGTCAAGGAATTGGTCAGAATGAGCCTTTTCACCAGAAATCATGACTAATAGGGAGAGTAGTGTGAGACTATCACTGGTTCCCTGGATCAGCATGGTTGGTGCCATAGCAGGACAGTGTCACAGATCTAAGGGCCATTGGTTGAAATGTGGAAGAAAGTGACATTGGTGATTTCAACCAGTAAAATTGATGGTGAATATGTGATGTGGGAGGGTTAATTTTGTGTTTCTTCTGATTCTCCCATTATCAGAGGTCATCAATGATAATTTATTTTAACCCTTGTGTATGTCAACTCAGATGAATGACTTGTATGCAAGTTTATTTTTCTGCTCAACTGGCAGCTTAGTCCTTACAACATAGCAGAATAAAATAAGGAGTACCTTCGTAGAACAGTCATTCTCCTTTGGTTGAGGATATGCCATGGGAGAATAAACTTGCATAGGTCTGTTCAACAAGTTGCACCTTCTTTTTTATTATTACAAAAATTATGAAATTATAAATGGGTAGCCCACACAGTTATAGAGACCTAGCTAGAACCCTGACCAGTGGAAAAAGGTAGGGATTTTGATGGAATTAAATAGCAAGATGTAGAACAGCATAAAATGTTGCATGACATAAGATTAATGCAAATATGAAACACTCTACATGCAGTGTGCTACTGTTTCAGGAAATGATACTCTACCACACTCAACGATATTTGAGTGGTAAAAATAAAAAATAAAACAAGACCTACATCCTGGATGATCCAAGGAGAGGCATACTGGGAAAATTGTATAAATCCCTCAGTAGGAAGAGTCACAATTTAAGGGCTCTTGGAGCTCACACATTAATACTTTTAATACCCTTAAAACCTTCTTAGACATCATTCATGTCATTTTTTACAATGTTCCATTTTTTAATTCAATGGTCAATATCACCTTGGGGGTATCTTGCCCTAACACCCAGTTTGTGGCAACAGCATAACATTTGGGCACACATTGAAGCCATGTATGTGGACTGACCCCCAAGTTCTGTACAACAGCATGTCACTGACTTTCAGAGTTTGAAAGGCTTGAAGATTTCTCCATGGATTTCACAGTGATAAACAGCATCAAGGTGAACCATAAATTTAAAATGGGAAGTTAAATTGGACTAAGACTCACACCATTCTTGAAGAGGTCTCTTATGAGCCCCTCATCCATCTGAGATTCTTGGTCCATCTTCAGTACCAAAGGTTTCACACGCTCTTTGCAAAATCTGTAAACTGAAACAAAAATGATAATCTCCAAATAATAATTCCTTCCTGGCATTTATAGTCTCTTCAGGCGAGAGGGCGGAATCAAGATTTAAACCTGTATCTTTCATGGCTCTCTCATCTTCGCTCAGAACAGTCAGTGGTAATGACTGTAGTGCTCCATTTCCCTTTGAATGCTGAAAAACGCTCTGAATAGAGTACGCTTCTGAAATGCAGGTTTTGATTGGCCTATGAACTGAAGTTCGGCAAATCGCCTGAGCACTCCTCAGGCCCTGGTACAGAAAAGAGCATGCAAACTTTGATACTCCTCTCATCTGAAATATGAAAAAAAAATTCAAAATTTATTTTCAATCCTGAAGATATGCCTGTGCATACGAAGCTCAAAACTTTCAGGTTTCATGAATCGGGCAGGGAGCAACCACATGTCTGTGGGGGTGACACGGCTGACATATTCAAAAAGATTTCCACTGAGTCAAAGCGCATGCGCTATTACCCTCCAAACTAACGTTTCATTTTGCGAATATAGAGTTGACGAGGGGTGGATTAGTTTATGTGATCAATAATGAGATATCATTTGCAATATCCAAGCCAGAAATCGGCCGATCAAGGAGAGAATGCTGTACGAGATGCTGTTCGAGATCACGGAGATATAAAGCTCAAATGCGGCTGCGTTCGAGCGATCAGGTAGCGGATGAATTGAGGGAATTAATCATATATAGAAATGTGTCCAATGCTGCTGCCAGTCGATAATGAAAAAAGGAAAACTCGAGCATGTAAAATCGAAAGATGAAACATTTTAGTACAGGTTTCCTTGGTCCCGAAGGGGCTGGTTGCCACAGCCGCACATCAGAGCCATCTATTTCCCGTCTTTGGGCAGGCGTCCTCTTGGGCTTCGTTAGAAGTGGACATTTCAGGTCTGCCTCTGACTGCACTAGGTCGAAGTCTTGCTTTGCGGTAGTCTAGGCCTACAATAAAGTGGATAGCTGTGCTCCCGTGTGATTTTCATTAGCCTATGTGATAAGTCAAGAATCCTGCGCTATACCTCAGAAATTTCGTGCGGAATGTAAATGCAATATTTATTTCTTCTAAGGTCAGATGAATTCTGACTCCGTTAAGTTATTGCCTCAAAATCGGAAGATTTGCCTGAGTTTTCAACTCAATGGTTTTGGATCGTATACCGTTCGAGAGGGAAGTTTATCCAATTTCCATTCACATATTGAGACCGGACATGGGTGCAAATTGGTTGAAAAAGTCTGATGGGATTCCTTTGTTCAGTAATACGATTTAAGGAGCGGACTTTATGCGTGGCCAGAATTTGTCTTACCCTGGCTACTACCTGTTGAGTGTGAAGCAAGAGGTAGATATGGGGGTTTTAGGAAAAAAGCCACCCGGAAATAAGACCCCCAGATTAGGCAAAGGCAGAAAAGTGCCATCCAGTTATGTTCAGGTCAGATTAACGACTCATTCATTTTTGCGACATTTAGTGATATTGATGTCATGTAATTTGATCAACTTCACTGAAATGTTATTAAACATAAAACAAAGTCCAACTTCAGCCCATTCCTTAAAAATGAATATTATGGCTTGAAATCTTTTGATTTTGGCTGTGTCGCAGGATGAGATGATTGCACTCTCTCTGCACTTCTTGGAATTTTTTCTCAAAACAATTGCTCTGGGACATGTAAGGTTTTTATTTTTATTTTATCTCCCTCATATCCACTTTCACTCCTTTTCCCGGGGGGTGGAGAGGATCAGGATTAGCTCCCCTCCTCAATCCACCACCCTGAACCGCCCATTGCCCCCACCCCCATTTCCATCAGCAGTCCCTCAGTTGAAGTCCATGTTCATAACGGGACAGTCCTTCCCTACATTATGAATGTAGGAAAATAATATATCTTTAGAATCTATTTAAAGAGGTGCTTTCAATCGAGAGATGTTTTTGCCTTTTCCATTCTCAATGAATGGAAATGAAAAATCAATAATATATTAATTGAAAAATTGGTGGCAATTCATTGAATATTAAAACATAGATAACAGTCACATAACTGCATGAATGTGTCTTAAGGTTGCCAAGTGAATGTCTTTATTTATCTGGTAATGTATAAATGAGAAATTATTATGCAATGACCTGGGTGGCTTTTTCGCATTTTTATCTCGGGTGGCTTTTTTCCGCTTTTGTCAATTCTGGGGGCCTTTTTTCTGGGTGGCTTTTTTCCGAACCCCAGATATGGGTAGGTCTGTTTATGGAAACTTCACAATTTTTTATTTGCTTCTCTTTTTCCAAGCTACAAAAATTAAGAAAGTTTCTTTCTGGAGCAAAGCAGGAAGGAATAGCATATCATTATCCTCCATTTGGTTAGTGAAGCAGTCAAATTTCTCAACAAGTTTCTGCCATTGCATTTGATTAGTATGGATTGGCTAATTCATTTTCTATGTCTCTAAATGTAAGATATGGATAATGGTTAATTGTGTACCCAAGGAAATGTGTGCCCCCCCCCCCCCAAGTCTCTATAAGTGAAAGTTAAGTGAAATTGAAATCCCCAAAAGAAAGCACATTCTCCCTTGACAAATGCAGAAAGAAAAATGGCTGCTCCTAGGTACTTATCACAAGGCTGGATTAAGGGGAGGGGGAGGGCAAAGGGGACTGTTACCCTGAGTCCCCACTTTTCCAGTGGGACCTGTATGGAAACTAAATACATTAAGTATTTGCTTAAAGTAGTGGGGGATGTAGTTCCTAAATCACAGGACTCCTCAGAGATGACTCTGAAAATTAAAGCAAGAATACTGTCAATGGCCATCACCTGCACACTCGGCGAGGGCCTCTGTCATCTCTGACGCAACTTGCCTTTGTTTTCAAGTCCCACCAGACAACTAATTGCCATTCATTTTCTGAAACAAAATTATGTACACACATGCATACATATGATGCAAAAACTTACTACAATGGCCCTAGACCTAAATCAGTACCTATTGTAGGCCTAGTCCTATCCTTGGTTCAGATAAAACAATGCCAGGTAAAATAAGCATAGTGCTAAGCTCAAGCTATTTCAGGACAAGGACATTTTCTTATTTGCAGCTTAACTGAAGATTTGAATTTCACTTGGGGAATTTCTTCTCTTGTTAAACCAAGACAGTCTACAGCTCCTGGATGTCTGCTTGATGCCTTTTTTCTTTCTGTACTTGAACACTCTGAGGCTTGCAAATGCTATCTAGGTACACCATCACTTTCAAGCTATTGAAATGGCAGATGGGTGCCAACATTTGAAAGTGTATGCAGCCACTGACAAATGCATTTCTCATTTGAGCTTTTATGCATTCTTGACAGAATATCTTAGTCTTTTTATTCTGGTTAGAAAAACTTATTTTCCTTGCTGGAATTGTTTCCATGCTTTTTTCACATTCATTTCCATTTTAATACTTGGCAGGAACTGGATTTTGCCATATTGGTTGATTTGAATCCATGAGATTATCAGTTGCATAAACCTGATTAGTATGATCCCCCTCTGAGATGCCTTCTCCTTCCTCCCATTCATTTGAAGTTTGGTGATGAGAAATGTGAAATACATGATATGAGGAGGAACTAGCCAGCCCTTATTCATTGGGGTTCCTAGGATGAAGCCTATCCAAAATTTTGTCATGTGTAAATCATGATGGGCATATGCTCAATGTTGGCCACTCTTGTCTTGTGAAACGTACTCCATTCGGCCTATCCAAGCCTATGTTTCTTGTCTTATTGCCTGTTTTCTTGTCTTCCAATTGCAGTCATGTGAAGCTAAAACAGTACTGTTTCATAAATTCAAACACATGCCTAAAACTAGATGTGATACAAAAAAAGAAACTGGTTCACCTGAGAGGAAGAGGAAGACTGAAACTAGCTTAACTGAAGAAAACCACTTTTACATGGAAGAAGTTGTTTTTTCTTAAGGTAATAGTCCATAAATTTGAATTGTCAGACAAAAGGTGAGTCATTGATTTGTTCAGCAGATTCTGAAATGTAGAGGGAACCTAGTCAGCTGGGCAGGTTCACAAGTCAGTGTCAGGGTGTGAGCACAAAAATAAAATTCCACTTCTGTAAAATCACTAGTGTGGTAAAATGGCAAAATATCCAAATTTAGACTGTCAAAGGATGCATAGATGTACATAGGAAATAAACTTTGCTGGATTAGTGGCTGTTTCAGAGGTGCCACAATTTCAGAGTTAGGCTTTTTTTTGCCTCGCCTAGTAAAATGTGACTTGCTACCTTTTTTATGCAGGTACTGGTATAAAGTGTTGCATGGTACAGATGGATGCTGTAAAAATTGAGAGCTTGGACGGTGACTCTTCACAAGCACCTCACCCAAGTCCTGGGTCAGAAAGAGGAAACAGAGGATTTGGAAGGGGAAGAGGTGGTCGAGGAGGCCCAAGGGGTCGAGGAGGAATGAGAGGTGGTGGTGGTGGCGGCCCACCTGGTGGTGATAGAAGGCCACGGGCTCCTGAAGTCAGATACCCTTTCTTCTTATCTTGCACTGTAAGCCTGTGTGCTTTGAGCAGGAATTTTAAGCCCACTGTCTACTTCCAGGATCGAATTCAAGATCGCCTGAATCAAGTCTTTAGTGGGATGCCAACAATAGACATACCTCCACGTGAGGAGACCGGGGTCAGGAAATTCACTAACCACAATCGCCTCTTTGTGGGAAATCTTCCAACTGATATCAAGCAGGATGAATTTGATCAGCTCTTTGCTCCATATGGCGAGACCAATGAGCAGTTCCTAAATGCTGAGAAAGCATTTGGATTTGTGAAATACGTGAGTGGAGCATTTTTCTGTTGAAAATGAGCATGAGGAATGCTGGATTTCTCAAATCTTTAAATGTTATCCACTCTTATATTGCAGGACTACAGATCCAATGCAGAAAAGGCAAAATTAGAATTGGATGGAAAACCTGTTAGAGGGAGAAATATAAAAGTACGCTTTGCTGCTCATGGAGCTGCTCTCAAAGTAAAGAACCTCAACCCATGGGTATCTAATGAACTGCTTGAAAAGGCTTTCTCTGTCTTTGGAGAGGTTTGTTGCTCTACCTCCTTGATCATTCCTGTTTGGTGTCAATCAGGGAAATAGACATTGTATTGCCTGAATTTCTCTAGATTGAGCGTTGTGTAGTTCTTGTTGATGGAAGAGGAAAGCCACTTGGTGAAGGACTGGTGGAATTTGTAGCCAAGCCATCTGCCCTACAGTGCTTGAAGATGTGCAATGAAGGATGTTTCTTCCTTACACAGTAAGCATGATTTTAATGTTTATTGATTATGAGAAAGTTCCTGATCAGGAAGAAACAAGAACTTGTGTTATTTCTTGCAGGTCTCCACGTCCTGTCATTGTAGAACCCTTAGAAGAGAAAGACACTGATGAGGGGCTCCAAGATAGGATGCTCCCAAAGAAACATCCAGAATTCCAGAAGGAGCGCTCGGTAGGATTCCATAAGTGTCAACATCTTGTTGCATCAGGATGATTGGATTGTTCTAAACTAAGGATGTTACAGAATAAGAATTTTTAACAATATCTGATAATTTTAATGAATGGCTCACAGAGTCCAGTGTTATTCCATAGAAATGGAATAAGTTGAACTGCAATGATGTTTTTTATTATTAATTGGAAGTCTGTTCTAGCACAAAGTAGTGGAGAAAGTGTACAGTGATCATCTGACTGAAACTTGGCTTAGCATTTCCTCTTGTGCCTTAACTAGAATCTTCAATGTATCTGAAGGGAGAGCCATTGTTGATCCACACCCCCAGACCATAATAAGACTAAAGAACAAGGCTTGAATACTGTTAGTTAATGACCTTTAGCCCTCTTATTGACATGCAACTTTTCTGTGATTTTCAAAGAGCCATGTATTGTACTAGTGCTTACATCTAGTGAGAAACTTGTTTACTATTTGAGATATTAAGCACTAAAGATTGACATTGAAATGGTATCATAGATCTATGCCTATGGGTTAAATGAGGTTTCAGCTTTCAGACCTGAATATCTAGCTGGAGTAATGGAAGTGCACACATGAACTCCTGAATGATACTATTTTGAGATCGTGGATTATCTACACTGCTTCAGCAATGAAGGGAGCATTATTAGCTCTTTCACTGAAGAATTTAAAAACCTTGAAATCCCTTGAATTGACCTTTTTTTTATTGGCCAATTGAGTATCAGTTACATCCCTCATAATCTTTTAAATGATGAGAATTTTGGCATTTGTGATACTATTACAAACCTTATGTTGGCTAGAGTCTTAGCATGTTATTCGTTGTATTGGAATGACAGTGAGTCATAGTAATAAATTATTGTCTAGTTGAATAATTGCTAACTGTAGGATCATTTATTAATAAAATCCTGTTCACTAACTAGAATACGTTTTAGATTGCTAGCCCTAACCAGTGGATTTCTTTATTTTCCAGGTTCCTCCTCGCTTTGCAGCTCAAGGAAGTTTTGAATTTGAATATGCTGAAAGATGGAAAGAACTTTATCAGATGGAGAAGCAAAAGATTGCATCTGTTGAGGCTGAGATGCGATATGAGCGTGAAAAACTTGACCAACAAATGGAATATGCCAGACATGACCATGAGATAAACATGTTGAGAGAACGTGAGTTCTTGTCTGGTGAGAATGGACCAACTTTGATTTCTTTAATGAAAGTGATTTTGTTGCAGAGTTGCGTCAGCGTGAGCTTGAGAAGGAGCGACAGATGCGAGATGCAGAGATGAGGATGAGAGAGAGAGAGGAGATGCGCAGAAAGGAAGAGGAGATGTATAGAATGAGGCAAGATGATTTGGCTCAGCAGATGCAGAGACGTGAGGATGAACTTAGGAGACGGGTTCAGGAGAATTCCATGTTCCTTCAGGTCAGATCAACACCATTGCCTTTTGGAACTTTTCATCAACTCATGTTCCAATGATGATACGAATTACCGTTTGAGATCCACCATGAAACAGATTTTTGATGGCTGCAATATTGTAAATCTGATAGGGAAATGAAGTTCATCCTAATTTCATCTCTCCTGTGGAAAGTGGAATGTCTACTGAAGGAGACAATTCTGTTGTGTGGCAGGAGGAGGCCATGCGTGCTGGTGGGAGTGACAACAAGGAGGGGATGCAGTCAGCACAAACAAATGATACCTATACAAATCAAGGAGGGTATGGGACCAATGGTCGTTGGGATCGGTCTGCTACCAGTGAAGGCCAGTATCCAGCCTTCGTTACCAGTATGTGTCCGATTTCCTATCTTGTTGAACTGTTTCTTTTTCCTGCAATTGGTTGACATTTGTTTTTTTTCTCATTTTGAGATAGTTTTTCTAGTGCTTTTTGGAGCATTTTACTTTCTCATACTGTCTATACAGGGTGTTTGTATTTAAATGCAACATAGGAATCTTTTTGCCACCTGTTTGTGGAGTTCAGAGCATGCCTTATAGCTCACCTGGTTACATATCTGGAAGGATAAAACCTATCCCTGGCATGTTTCATTACAGATATGCAACCTGTTGGGCCTTATAGTATTCATCAAATTCCACCTACAGGCGGCAAAATATTCCCCATGTTGCATATAAATATGGAAACCCTGTATACTGTCTCATATTACATTCATGTTATTCTACTGATTTTAGTACTGAATGGAAGCTTCAATTGATTTTTCTTTCTTGCAGACATGGGCAGTGGTGTGATGCCTCCGGTGAGTCAGTTTCCTTTTCAATGTGGTTAAGTGAAAGATGCATGTACATCTGCATGCATGTTTACAATCACCGTCCTCATTCGTTCTGAAACAGGTGCAGGTTTACACCTTTTGATCTAATGAGGCACATAATCATCATTCACCTATTCATCATGAATGAATCAGGCCTTTAGTAATATTTTCAGCTAATTGGTATCACTGGTATGGAGGGATCCTCTCATGTTTGCTTAATGTTGAAGAATTTACATTTTTTGGCCATAGAACTAAAAAATTTTAAATGTGATATTTTAATGGCTGTTTTTTGTAGAACTGAGAAATGCAATTCCTTTTCAAACCTGAATGGTTTTAAAAGAAGACATAGGGAGGCATAGGTGTAGGGGATACATATGTAAACAGAGGTATTCCAAGTTACTTGAAGCCAGGCTAGAAAAAGCCTTGTGAACCTGCAAACAAGGTTTGTGGGAACAGAGACGCATGGGTCTGCTTGCACATCCCAGGAAATTCCAATTTCAGAAAAAATGTTTTTTCCTACACTGCTTGAAGCATAGATACAAAAACAGTTAGAGTTAGGTTTAAATGAGGCTCTCTGATTCAGTAAACCACACATGCTAACATCCTGCTCACAACTGTGGGACACAGCTTTTACAGCTTTTACGTAGAGAATAAGAGTTGGTACATAGACTAAAGTGTGATTGAAGAGTGAGATTTAAAAATATTGGCAAGCATATGCCAGGTTAAGCCAACTTCATTTGAAAGGATCAAATTAAAGTTAAGATTAAATTAAAGTAATGCTATGACAAGTGTATGAACTGGTCAGAATAAAAAACAATCATTCCAAAACTGTTAGTGACTGTCATAAGTGTGCAGTGCTGGTTTTTTGATGGTCTACTAAAATGTAGACTAAGTAATCTGAAAGGGCATTTCAGTAATCCTTAGATCCACCTAGATGTCATTGCACTTAGCTGGGTTTATTGATAGCACTCTTGTATCTTATGATTTTTAACCTTATGAAGTGACCTCCTTCATGTATAGAGTTTAATTTTAATCCTTGCATCAAGCCAAGTTTGACATTGCTCCACTTCTTTCATTCTTGTGACATTTTTGTTGATTAGTTGTTTGAAGTTTATACTAACACATCGACAGGTTAAAATGTATTTTGAGGTTAGGTTATGAAGTGTGACCTAGTCTAGGGTTGACTTGCCTGAAGTTTCTTGTGTCTGAAAGAACATCTTTGCACTTTGATTGAGAGAAATAAAATGATGTAACTCCTGCAAAAGGTCATGTAATGGGTTTACTTGGGAAATTCTTTTGCCTTTCAAACTGTGTAAATGGTGTACAAATTGTATTGATTGAGGAGGTTAGGGACACTGGAAGTGTCCAATACCCATGAACTTACCACAGTGTTGCATGTTGAAAAATTCATGTCTTTGTTCTGATCCTTCTGAACAGATATGACATTTCCATCTTTCAACCCTTCTAGGCAGGAGTTTATATGATCATCTAGCAACCCCCTCAAATCTGATACCTTCTATGCTTTTACTATCCTATTTGCTGATATTTCATTTTGTAACTTCTTGCCTGGAGGTTATCCTTATGTCTTTCAACCTTCTCAAAAGTTTAAATATGTAATGCATATTCCCTTCAGGGTAGTTGGAAAACTACATGAACATCCATGATGTGCCATTAGCACAGATGTATCTGACAGAGCTTATAGAATAGGACTGCACTAAAAATAAAATGTTGCCAATATGGCAATACCTGCTATATGTTTTCATAAGATGGCCCATGTCAGTTTTTGTGCTCTGATATCGAATAAGTCATTTTCATCATCTCCAAATCACCCAAAAAGTGTTACATTCACTATTGCTAGGAATTCTTCATGGTTCAACCTGGGCTAGACTGTTACCATATTCAATGGGATTAGGACTGTTCCAAGACCCTAAGCATATGTATAAAAATCTAGGCAATAGCAAGGGCTTCTTGAAGGATTCATTGGGAATGCAGTTGCATCAATCATTACTCATGGTGTGCCTCAATTTTGGCCATGTGCTCAAAGTTTTGAGATTCATTTCTAGTACTGAGCAAAATTTGCATGTCATTTTTTGCAAATGTTTACCTACTGGATTTTCTTGGCCTGCAGCAAAATGCTAGGAGATGGGGAAGGGTTTGTGATAAATTGTGTGTGCTAAGTCTTAAAAGTGTTACATTATGTTAATAGAAAATTATATTCCAAACCTCATCTGGTGACTCAGAAATGAATATCTATTTATTCCTTGTCAAGGGATTATGATAAGGAGTAGTTGTTCAGTCAAATTAAAAGTTTTTAAACTGACATGATGCAAGAGTGGGATCTAGCTTTTTTTTTTTTAGAACAAAATTGAGCAGATGTACCTAAGGAATTATTCCCTGATTTGATTTTGACCTAGTCTTAAGATGATTGCAAGGTGCTGTGTTCTGTAATTACTATCATTGCAATGCACCCACCATTAACTGGTTGACCGCCACGAGGCGCACCAGTGCACCTCACTGAATGGGAAATCAATAGGCCCGCATTGCTGTGGCTGTCAACGTGTGTTAAACTTCCTCATTGTTGGCAAATTGAGGAGTTCTCTGGAAAAAGGGCGTATGTGCCCATACACCCGTATGGACACACGCCCTTTTTCCAGAGAACTCCTCAATTATTAGTATAGTACATGAAGTGGTTTCTTGCTGTTCTAAGGTTTTCCTACAGCAGTGGTTTCCAACCTTTTTTTGGTGGCACTACAAGCTTAGCCTGATTCCCATATTTATGGAACCCACAAGTTCAGAAATTGTCATTAGTAATGCTTTTTTTTTTATCCTCATAACCTGACTGTAAGAACATTGCACACTGCCAGTTGAGAACCCCTCCTGGATTATAGTTGCAATTGTATTCACATGGTGGCTGTAGTATTGGTGTTCATTATGCACAATACTGTTGAAAAAAATGCTCATGCTCATGACACTGAATAGGTTTTCATTCTTCCTTTGGACTTTCATTTTTTGGTTGATCTGTATTGGCCAGCAAGAAATGTATTCACTGAAGTATATGGTTTGTCTGATCTAACAAGCTCCTAGTTAACAAGGGGTGTAGATATGGAAAGTGAGCATCAATCTAATTCACTCGAGTATGAAACACAACTGCCTCGACACTGACAGGAGAAGGGGATTGTAAATCTCCAGGTTTGAGTGACTGTAATATACTGAATATGGAACAAAGTCCAAAGGCTAGGATACAAGGACTTGATGTACTTTTTGAATGTTACCTTTGAGAAACAGGCTAGAAAGCTGCTTTTCTACTTCCAACTGAAACATATCATGGTTTTCACCAGGAAATGTTATAACTTGGACAGGTTCATTTATTTATTGCCATGAGTGCATACTGCAATCCACCCTCCTTTGCCTTTTCTCACCTTGAATTTGAGAACAAATAAGAAGCTTTGGAGAAATTCTATTGAAAGTAACTTTAAGGGTATATATCACATTCCTTGCAAAAAAACATAAGGAAAGCAAGCATTTTGCATTGGCTTTCTGCAAACAAGCACAGCCTCGGTATATTGGATGTCCTTGAGAGGACTCTTGACAAACATGTGAAGCTTTTCAAGAATGAGGCTTTCAATTGGTCTCAGTTGCATTTTAATGTACTTCAGGGTAAAGGTTCATTTCCAATATGCCGTAGTCCTTGGATGAACTATCATAGCAACCTTACTTTTGTGGGTAAGAAAGTGGGACAGAGAGCAAATTTAACCCTTTTAAGAGCAAAAGAGCAACATGCTGAATAGAGTTTGTGGGCATCAAAGGCATTGTGGAGTGTCATGCCACATATGGATTTCATTAGTTCAGCCTCTTCCAAGCAAAATGTCATGGTCCATGGACCAAAATGTATTGCATTGTTTCTTTATATTGCCCTGTTGGTAAAACTGTCCCAAGTATTGAGATTTGACCAAGGTAATTAACCTTTAACCCCTTCAGTCTTTTAAATGGCACTCCAAATGACTAGGCAGCCATATTTAAATTGGTGGGAACTGCCTATTTCTTGCAGTGTCAGCTATAATCGTTTTCAAACTAAACTATGCAAGCTAGAGACGTGAAACTTTCAGGGTAAAGATCAAATGTATGCTCTACTTAATGGAAATTCCTTTATAAAAACAAATGTCAAACTGGTATCCATAATAATGGTATCATTTGACGGTAGTAATATACACTGTAACATATTAGTTTCCAGACACACTTTTTTCATGACTTTTGTGGATTATATTACATAGGAGCTGCATATTTATGCACAAAAAAAGTATTGTATTTGAATAATCATCACTATCTGAATAAATTTCACCATCACTATTTTCTTCTTCACTGAAGAAGAAAATAGTGGTAAAAACTTCACTTCCTCACTTTCATCCACACTTTTGTCATTAATATCGCATAAGTATTCCTCTGCTTGGGTTTCCACCAAATGCTTCATTTTCCTACTTGCCATTTTTCCTGTGTACTTGGAACATATGCCTGTTATTGTTTGCATTTTACAGTAAAAGGAGGCTTTATCTATGCATAGAAACAAGCCAGAGGTTACTGTATGTCCAAAGAATGTACTTGTAATGCACAAAGACTTTGAAATAAGTATTAGTATCATGGCAATGCCATTACTTGAGAAGCAACCAAACGATATATAAAAGCAAGTAATAGTTCACTGAATGTCCACAGAACATAATTCTAATGCCAGTCAAAACTGTAGGCCTGAGAAGAGTTGGAAATGATGAACGAGTCTGACTCGGGATGTAGCTGTTTGGCACTGCACTTGCACAACACCAAGGTTAAGCCAATGTCAGGAAAACAATTTTCTATCACTTATACTGTTGCATCTAGGTTGGTATTAGAAGAGCAAACTTGAAATAGTGAACTTGAGCTGTAGAAGGGAGTGTATAGGTACAGTCATCTCTGCTTATTATGAAATGGAACATTCCACTTTAATAATGATCCAATTGATTCTCATAAGATATTCTACCCCATTAATTTTATATTGACTCAATCTTATTCGTTTCTTCATGTAAGAATGATATTCTATTAAGTGGTATTCCATTAAGTGGAGTTGCCTGTTATAAGATTTGAGAATTTCAAAATTTTCTCATTTTACTTACCTGTTCCTCTGCTGATTAACCATGTCAGGCTGATGAGCTGAAGGTAGGATACTAATCAAGCTGAGGGAAAGGGAGCATCTAATCAGTAATCAGGGGAGTAGAGCATTGCATTCTTTGCTCCATAACTTTAGGAGCATGGTGTGCTTATGTGCAATATATCCAAGAAATGGAATTCGAGTTATTCATTTGCTATTCTGTTGTCTGAAGTAACTGTAAAGGGCAATCCATCCTAGGCTTAACAGAAAATCACAAATAGTGAAGCACATCATCCAAAATAAAACACATGCATTGTAATATATGAAAGGATAGCTTTGTCAAAGATCAACTTTTTGTTAGCAGGAGGAGTTCTACTATCTTGATGCTTGTTATTTATCCATCTGTACTGAGATAAAACAGCCCCCATTAAGGGTATCGAACTTGTAAGGAAATGTATTCAGGGCTACATGGATGCACTGCTCTAGATGTACATTAATTCTGTGACCTGATGACCTCATAGATTATTGGAAGGGGAATTTTGACATTTGGGAGTTATGAGAGTGAACCTCTAAAATGTTGGTAATTCTGACATTGACATTTCATTCCTGTCTCATACTTGCTTACTCTTGGGTACATTCTTCATACAATTCCTTCTGACTCCCAGCTTGAACTAATGTATTTAGACCATCAAATTTGGTCCCTGTGTACCTGTAATTATACATCAGTCAGAGGGGTTGAATGAATGTATGTGAAGCTATCTAAAGGAAAAGCTTCAAAGGTGAAGAGTAGTGTAAAAAAAAAAAAACCACCTTCAAGCAGAATCATTTGCATGCAATATCTTGATATATGAATTTCATCCCAATGGGGTTGGAGTAGCCAAGTACATAGTTGCCTTGGAAGTCATGGCCTTTCCTCTGACCCAATGTTCAGCATTGATTTTATTGCCAGAGAGAAGGTAAGGGGGATATGGCTATATTTCAGTTTTCCAGACAAAAAAAAAAGATCCATAGGTGTAACAATTGACCCCAATGAGTGAGGTAGGAGAGAGAATTCCTGTCTGATGCCTTCTGTTTCTTCATAAAGCTATTGCCTACAATGTTTTGATATTCAATTTTTTTGCTATGGTGGTTGCAGACAGTGCTCAGTTAGATCCATTTAAATTACAAGGATGGGGATCAATTTGTTTCAGAACTGATTTTTCCCAGTATGTATATAGTGGGAATTTTCGCATGCAAGACTTAGTTGTGAGCAAATATGCTACATTTTTATGTTGTACAGCTCAATCAGTGGTGGCATATCAAATACAGCTGCCATATCTCATCAGTGGAGATGGAATGTGCCTCCTGACATTTAAATCATTGTCAATTATAATATAAGTATCTAAAACTGTATTATGATTCTCATGCTGCCCAAGTAATATAATGCTGTGAAATTGACATTTTATAGTAAAATATTGCCCTTCCTTTACTAATGCAATTTTAAACTAAAGGGGGGAGTAGACAAAAAGTAAAGATTGTATGAATGCAAATGTGTGTCCTGTAGATCCATTGACTTTTCAAACCCTACAAAATTTTGGCAATTGAAAATAAGTCAAAGTTCTTAAGCACAATACTAAGATTAAGACTATCATGCATAAGTTTTACTTTTTCTTTGAAATTTGATGTCAAATTTCACAAATACCTATATCCACTGATATCTGAATATTTCCCAATATTTTATGACTAATATTGTTTAACAACTATGTGATACCCAGTGGAGTGCATTGTACTCCAGACTTGCGGACTGATTTAATGTCAGCATTCAAGGGGTTGGGGAAGAACTGAAGGCAATGCAATAATTTTGGTGTGAAATATATACTCATCGTTAGGGAGGTCAAATATGCTTGACTGGCGATTATTGGTTAGTCAGAGGCTTGGGGAAGAGGATGAGGGATACTGAGGAACATGGGAGTGATTACACAAGTATATAGGCTATTTTATTGCAATAGGATCAGTGCATCTTGGTGTCATGGTCATTCCTAACATGCAACAGTTGATAGCAAGTGAAAGTATATTTGGGGTAATGGGATACAGCTTTCATGACCTACTAGTCCTACCTGGAGAAGTCTTGAAATACAGTCATCCCCCAACTTGCATCGTCTCGTCTTATGTCGTTTGCCCTCAGACCCAATATATTAAGCCAAGCACACAAATTTGTACCTACATTTTATTACGTTGCCCTTATGTTGTCCATGAATTGGTATCTCAACTGTGAGTAGTCTGCAACATTGTACTGTCTTGACTAACGTTGCTGGTCTTGAAACCAATTATGACGTAACTTCGGAGGATGACTGTATATGTATCATCAACTCTTGTTCCAAAAGGCAGTACTATTTGGTGGAATGTAACCTGCTTATATGCAGAACCCCTTCAAAATGGACATGATAATGTTTCATAATTCTCTCCTGACTCATCAATGAGCACTGCTCTCTACTCATCAGCATTAGTGTTCCCTTGTCTTCAAAGATAAGTTTTTGTTTTGTTGAACACTAATGTAAAGAACTTTAAAATCCTGTCTCACAATGGAAGGAGATGTCTTAATTCACTGCCTGGCAACATAAAAGCTTGAATAATGGGATCTTGTAATGAACTTGGATGGTGAGAATGGAGGACTCATCGTTCAACTGGGAGACTGTTCTCTCCTATAACCAGATGGCCTTCTCAAAAGCATTTCTTTGAAACTTTCACATTATTCATCACAAGTTCATGGAAGATACTGGTATGATATGGGTGAGGTAGTATTGACATTTCATTGCCAAAGCCCCAACAACTTGGACAAAGATGTGTCAATTATTTGCATGAGTGACTTTTGGGCCTTGGCTGTGAGAGTGGAATTACTCCTCACTGCCTTTGGAAGTGCCTCCATTTTGGTAGAAATGGTTCTTTTAACTATGATGCTTATTTCTGAAGCCTTCTGAGTCTGCACATAAATTTTTATCAAAAGGGTGTATGTGTCCATATGGATGTATGGGCACATACACCCTTTTTCCAGGGAACTCCTCAATTTTATATTGCTGCTATTCGTTTCAATACAATGCGCATGAAGTTGTCATTGCATCATATTGTAATAGGTTTGTTGGGTGGTATGGGTGCAATATTTATTTAATATCCTTAGATTTTGATGGCTGTGCTTGATTGGTATTACTGACTGTATATGCAGGAAAGATCAGTTTTGCCACTGCATGAATTGATAATTTTGTTTTCTAATTTATGGATGTTATGTGCAATGTGTATCACAATTATCCATCAAAAATATATCTAGAGATATTGATAATTGAACATTCCAAATCTGTAACCTAAAAGTATGATATGTAATAGTGGAAAAATATTAATTTGCCAACATTTTTTTAGATCCCTATTGGTATTACTTGGTAGTCATTCTTGACATTACTTGGCTTCTGTTCATCATATTCCTTAAATGCCATCACTAAATAATTTGAACAAGTAACATCAACTGGGAAGGAACATTATTGCTCCCTTGGAGACTAAACATTCTTGATATGCCTGCCCTGAGGGTGCATGTCAATCCTGGTCTGGGAGGGATCACTGTTGTAGTCAAAGGGTGGAAGTTCATTACATCTATAAGAGCACCTAAAACTGGTGGTTGAACTGAAAATGAATGTGTGCCTTCCCAGATGTTCCCCACACCTACTCAGAAATTTGATTACAGAAATTTAATCATTTAATTGTTTGAACCAACAGAAGCCAATTGATGCTGGATTCCATTGGAAAAAAAAAAAAAAACAGTTTTGAGGTATTCGTTTATTAGGAATCCTGCATGAGGATCTTGCTAACACATTGTTATTTCATCTTTTCTTTTCCGGTATGTGCATCTTGTTTCTCCATCATTGAAATGTGGACTCCTCGGCTCCTGTCATTGAATACTTGGGACCATGAAACACAAAAAATTTTTTAAACCCCCATGAATATTAGGATCCCAAGGCGGTTGTTGAATCATACGGGACCGACACGTATCAGCAAGGATACACATATGGCTATCAGCAGGAGATGGACAACGATGGTGGGATGAATCGCGGAGGGTCGTGGGGAAGAGCCGATCGTGCTCTCCCACATGATGAATATCCTGGATCTAAGAGACGTCGCTACTGAGTCCCCATTCCTGGCTCAGGATGAACACCTACATTGTAGGTGTAATTTTACCAGCAGCACTTTCATGATTGGTCTCTCTCTTACATTATTGTCTCTAAATATCTTCACATCTCTGTAGATATTCCCATAGAAATAGGCACCTTTTTGACGAGTCTCTGGCCTCTAATGCCTCTTTCTATTATGTATATCTCCATGGACATGGAAGTCTTCAAAGCAAGGGGGTTTTCCAGTGTTCAGCTACTTGTAAATGATCACAAAGGGCCTTTGGCCACAAGATGACTCAGTCATTCATCGCACCCGTCTCATTATTTCATTTTACAACAATGGCTTTTTTTTTCGTGGACTATGTAAGTGAATATACATAGGACTTTTGGTTGCTCTATTCCCTGCTGTGTGTTCTTTATTGTATGTTACTCAGCATTTTATCCTCTATTGCAGAGGAAATGCTCTTTTAGAAGACTGGATATTTCAAATACTGGGATTTTAGGAGTACCCATTCCTCACTCGTAATGGGAGTGAAGGATTCTGTCAGTGCGTATACCTTGTATGTGCTGCCTTAATTACAGTCAAGTATGGTTGTTCCAGACTTAAGTTTTTTCAGGGAAATGAGTGAACCTAACTACCCATGAGCTTAGCTGAGCTTGAATTTTAAGTGGATGATCATCTAGAAATCCTCATTCTGACCAAGGAGCTTTCATCAGTTACTGATTTTGACATAGCTATTTTGTGCGTTGGGGCATGAAGACTTTTATCTTACCCCCAAAGCCTCAGTCAAGATGTATATTTATAATGCCCTCTGTAAACTGAAGGCAGTAAAGGAAGGATAGGCATAGCAGAGGAAAATTATTTCCCATTGACATTCTATCAAAGTACTCGCATGTAGGACACAACAGGTATTCTTATATCATTTGCATGAAGATACATGGAGCTGCAGAGCTTCCTAAAATTAGGCCTTCAATTTCTCTAAAGATTAATTTACTATGCAGAGGGTGATCAAATGTTTCTGAACACTTTCTCAAAATCGATTTTTTCACATTCACTTGATTAAATGCATGTGGTACAGTATAATATATGCAGTAGAAATGAAGATCTGCATTTTTTTTATGGGACAAGAAAAACAGATACGTTTATTTTGATTTAAAAGCATAAACGATAGTTCCTTGTGCAAGCCATTTTCCCACCTCACTTTTCCTAATGGGAAAGAAGGAGCTCACAAAAGTGCAGTGTGGCACCATTTTTTACTGCCATAGACATGGTGACTCATATTGGAAAATCTCAAAAACAGTCAGATGTGGTCTTGCAACTGTCTGTGATATGTTGAAATGATATGTCGAGACCAGATCCTCCAACTCCAGGCCATGTTCAAAATGATCATGCCAAATCAACTCACACCAGCGGTGTCACCATTTCTCACTGGTTGTCCTGAACCTGGCCTGGAGTTGGAGGATCCAGTCTCAACATGTTGTTTCAACGTATCACAGATGGTTGCAAGACCACATTTGACTGTTTTTGCAATTTTCCTGAGTTGCCACGTTTATGGCAGTAAAAAATGGTGCCACACTGCTCTTTCATGAGCTCCTTTTTCCTATCTGGAAAAGTGAGGTGGGAAAATCGCTTGCACAAAAAACCATGTTATGTGCTTTTTAATAAAAAAAAAAACAAGTTTTTCTTGTCGTGTAAACAAATTGTGGATTTTCATTTCTACTGTATATATACTGTACCACATGCATTTGATCAAGTAAATTTGAAAAAATCTATTTTGAAAAAGTGCTAAGTCTGAACAATTACTATATTAAACTATCTGCTTAATTAGCTATCAAATAGACTGCCTCACCCATGTGAAAATTCCATGTACCACCTTATATCTATTCATATATTATCAATTGTATGGTGTGTAATATATTTTACCTGCATTACAATATCAAGTATAATGGGCTAATGGCATCATGTCTGATATGTGGTGAATATCCATAGACAAGTCTTATGGTTGTAAGTAAAACATTGCGTGAGGTCAGTGGTATATTTTGGCTGAAGATGAGTCAGGGAGACAGGGCAGCAGAGTGGGGGTGCCAAACCCTGTCCCATAGAAGCCAGGGGGGGCAGCTGCTCTCCCCCCAACTGTAACTCAGTTTGGTTCATTGAACCATTTCTTCCTAGGACCATTCCTTCATTGGATTATTTCAGAAAGAAAAACCGTTTTGTTCCCATCTGTCTTGTGAGTTCTCAGTCAAAATTAAGACACTCCCACACGAGTAAGCCAAGTTTTGTCGGGAAATAGCATTACTGATGAAAATACTTGTGAAGGATAGTCTATAATATTGAAACTTTCACCTTCAGTAACAAGGGTGCATGTGTTGAACACCATGAAACATGAGTCCTTAGAGTAAGTGACTATGGTCTATGAACAATTCAAAATGAGTTGATTGCAAGAAAAGTAAGTAAAGTATGGTGACTTGCATATGTAATTGATGGATTATGGACCCTTTTAGGATACAGGCATGTTTCAGGTAATCTCACCATACAGAGATATAACTTGACATATATAGACAGTATATGGTGTATTAGTACAAGTCAATATATGAGAGTGTGTGGGGGAATACATTTTCATTCTGATATTTTATGTGACGTGTTAGACTGGATAAATACAGGGTGACCAGAAAATCCTGTCAGCATTTTTGCAGCAGCTCTTTTAATATTTACCCCTGAACAACAAGTCAGCAACTGAAGGAGCACAATAGTCTTAGCAACACAACAAAATTACCCAGATTCAAAATGACCACGCTTTGCATCTCTACACGCCTTCAGACGGCGCAGGAAGTCATAGACAATTTCACACTGCTGATTTTCTGTGATCTCATTCCACGCTTTCAGCGAGTCCAGATTTGCATGTTGTGTGTGTGGCACAGACCTTCCTCTCCATTATACCCAAAACTGCGTAATCCAGCGGATTTAGATAATGCGAATTTGAGGGGTAAACATCTTCATCCCAAAACGCAGGAAACAGCTGTCTGCAAATGGCTTTCATGGACTTTGCTCTGTGTGATGGTGCCCAGTCCTGCTGAAATGTCCACTGGGCTTCTCCGAAATGAGAGTCCGCCCGTGGCTTCAGCACATCCCGAAGGATGCGTTCCTGGTAGAATTTGGCATCTTTCCACTTGCGGTGACTCCACCCCATACCATCACAGAAGCTGTGTGACAAAAGCTGCTTCTGGACACTCCTTTGAGTTCTTTGGCAACAGATTCTGGTCGTTTTGGATATTGGACATCTGTTCTAGGGTAAAGACCTTTTTGTCTGTGAAGACAACATGACGATGTTGAAGAGCACCAGTCAGCTGCTTCAGCTTCTTCACTTTTGCAAGTCGATTGTTCATCATGGCCTCCGTTAAGTGATGACACTTTCGCAGCTTGTAAGGGTGATATCCAAGAACCTTCTTGCACAGAATTCTGGCCGATTCTTGCTTCTAACCGATGCTATGGGCCAATTCCCACATAGACTGCTTTGGTTTTCGCTGAATTCTTTTTAGCTTCCTCCGGTTTTCAGGAGTGTTGGCAGTTCGCGCGGCCTTCCACTTCTTGGACGGTCTCCTTCATGCCCCAACTCCTCGTAACAGTTAATGGCCCGGATCACGGTTCTTCTGCATGCACCAAGTGTCTTTGCGATATTGCTTGCACTAATTTTTGTCTCGTGCAAATGGATGATGGCAGAATGCATTTTCTTATCCATCAAAAAATACAAAAGAGTGACACTATAGAAATGAAACTTTTCACACACAGACAATAATATTAGGGAGCAAAATTGCATGAAAATTTTGCTAGGGCTTTTGTATTTGTATAGTTTAAAATATGGGACAAAAGTGGACAGGACTTTCTGGTCACCCTGTATATGTCCATTTCATATATGGTCTTGTATGAAATTTTCACATTGGGACATTATATGCACTAGGCTTACTTAGTCATTTTGATAGTCTGGTTGACTTGTCTTTTATTATGATTTATGTTCAACATGACTGCACTTAATAGGCACATGTGGGTAATTATTAGTATATAAGTGTTGGTGGCAAGTTTTCATCAAACTAAATGCAATTAGGGTGAGTGTTGCGAATGTTGGCACTCTAAGCAAATTCTGCACTTCCACCTTGCTTGCTGGTTTTTGTAATGGAGCTTCCTTGTTCATAATGGGTCTGGTGATAACTTTATTATAAACCTTCTTATACGCAAACCTTGAGTGCCCCAGACCTTTCATTTCTGAGGGCCTGGGTCAAAGGTGAAGTTGGGTCAGATGTTGGCAATCTTGGCACACTTGCTGGTATAGATAGCACCACCCTGTCAGGAATCTATGCACGCTTATGTATTTACAACAGATCCAAAAATGAATGCAATGACCAGATAAAACAATATCTGGTGTGGAAGAGAAGAACGGAATGTGAAAACACTTAGCAAAATAACAAGATTTCGCAGGATTTTCGGGGTGCACTTAGAGAAAGTGGCCACTGCGAGAGAACTACAACAGCAAATGTGACTGTTCCAAGCACATGTTAACAACATTAGTCCTACCATCTGAGAATACTTATCCGCCCATGCCTATGGCACTAGTGGTGGAAGCAGAACTTTGACAATTGCAAAGTGCCAAGATTACCCCCCGTGCCGACATTCACAGCACTTACCCTATACTGGGAGCTCCAGCAAAGAAAGCTAGTAAGTGGATAGGAACTCATCCCATTATTCGGAGGTGCCAACTAAATTAACTAAATGCAGTCATGTTGGACATAAATAATACCAATAGACAAGTCGACACATGACCATGGAAATGACAATTAGGCAAGCCAAGCACGTGTAATGTCAGGTTGTCAATTTAACAGCTAGGTAAGTGGATGGGTTAATACTATGCATTTTAATGTTTAAAAAATTGTATTGTAAGTTCAGGGGGTAGAATGGTTAGAGGAGCTGAGTTCCTGTTTTGAATCACTTTGTTTTGTGAGAAAAATGCTTTGTAATTGTCA